AAAAACCACTGGGCTAGTCAGGTATAATCTAAACCAAATCCCTAGTCTTCTCTTCTCTGCCATGCTTCAAAAAGGCTTCTGCTATTGATGCTTTGTCCACTCTTCTCACATTACACTTCTCATTTGAACAGACCATTCATATGAACGGGGTCTTTTAGCACAAACCAGGCCTGATCATGTTAATGTTGTAATATCAATATGCAACATGTCTTTCTCTTTAATGGATAACCTTGAAAGGAACCTCATGTGTTCCCTGTAATTAATTTGCTTTATAAATGTAGTCTGTTTCACCCTCTATCTTCACACCCTCCCTCAGACGGTGCAAAGCTACGAGCAAGGCAGAACCTTTTGAGTTTGCCTACTTATCGGCGTTACCTTGACTGCTGTTGCTTATTTTGCTCAATTATATGGTATGTAATATGTTTTAGATGTTACGTTTGTTTATTACGAATTCCCGTATACCTTTTCCCTAAGAGACTTAAAGTATATTTTGAACAACTTATCTCGGTGTCTCGCAACCTCCTTTAATATATTTTTCAACAGTTAATATTTTAGTTCTAGAGATGGGGGTATTTGTATGCAGATATGAATACCCCCCTAGAGGTGGAGATAGCGAGGGTCCGGACCCTCCTGGCAGGAGGTGGGATGACAAGTCTCTCTGCCAGGCCAAAGAGTGGCTAATCCACTGCGAGCTCCAGAGCGATAGGAAGGGTGTGCGGGGCCCACAGCAGCAGAAGTAGAATGGTGAGTGGACGGTCTGGTCCCAGGGGGACGGACCATCATTATCTCCACCTCGGGGGGGAATATTCTTATACAAATACCCCCATCTCTATATAGTACTTAATGCTGAAAGAGCATATTCTCTCATATGAACCTACTCCGGCTTCTAAGTCTTTGGGAGAGGCACTTCTTTGTCTTACCACCACAGGAAACACGTCTGCTGAGGATACAAAGAGGGTTTACTCAGTTGCTGCTCCCAGACTCTGGAACTCCTAGTCCAAAGCAGTCAAGTAAAACTTCTTCTCTTATCAGTCATCCACTAGAGAAAACATTTTTTGTCAAAGACAAACCTTTGGCAATGAAGCTGGCTTTTGGTTTTGGCTGAAGTGGGTTGTAACTGGCTGAGTTCAATTTGGTTGAATTGTCCCACATGCCTCTCCCCTATTCTAAACGAAAACACCACATGCATGCTTTTTCAAAGAAAGAACAAGAGTTTTGTCAAGAGTAGCAACACAAAGTGTGTATGAGGAAGGCAAGAACTCAAAAACTGAAGATATAAAAGAGAAATAGGGGGGAAAGTGAGACTGGAAATTCTGCTCTTAAGGTTGGTTTTGAAAGATAGGTATTGTAAGAGAAAAATAAAATGTACCTTCATTTATCATGAGCTATACAATCCCATGCAAAAATAGATACCTCCCATCCTTTCTACATAAGTACACAGCTGTACCTGTTGTGTATTTGTAACTGCAGTTGTGTGGCTCCTGCTCTGCTCGTGGGGACAAGGAAAGAGGATCTACGCAGCGACAGAAGCTAAGATATAACAAAAGTCTGTAACCAAGACTTGAACGTGGGGACAAGGAAAGAGGATCTACGCAGTGACAGAAGCTAAGATATACGTAACAAAAGTCTGTAACCAAGACTTGAGACAACAGCAAGCAATGGCAGGCAAATGGCAACCAGATTTACCAGCTTTGATGCCAAAGATAGCCAAAACATATAGGGTATGATGCTGATAATAGCCATCGCCTATCCACTGCATAGGAGCTATGGGATAGAAGACATGTTAAGTCTAGTTTCTAATTGTGCCAAGAATGGAAAACTTTATGTTATAGCTGGAAACAGAGAGCTGAGACATTGCTCTTTCTATTGTAAGCAGCAGTTGCATGTTAGTTTCTTTTAGTTAAAAGGCAATTAATAAACATCAGCACACCTGCCATCTCCCCTGTAATACCAAGGACAGGTCCTGACAGTAACTGAGACACCCCTGCTTTGATAATATCAACATGTCTTGCTGACTTTGTGTTCTGTCCTGTCATGACTGAAAGAAATCAATCAAATCTTCCCATTGATCTAGAATACTTCCAGTTTCTTAACAATTAGAAGCATCTCAAAGAAACAAAAATATCTGTTAAACATTTTAACTACTACTGGTATATTTTCTGCACCTGTGAGTACAAGAAACAGCTGCCTCACCAAACATAGCAGAAATTGCCCTCTTTGTGTTGAAAAAGCCTTTTCTCATAAAGTTAGGGTTTATCTATGCAGTGCTGAAAATTACTTTTATCTCCATTCTTTGAAATTGGATTGCCCATTAATTATAATACAGGTTTCTACGGAGGCAGAAATGAACAGGGCAGAGAGTCAGTTTGTTACCTGCATTGAAGCCCCTTCAACTCTTGCAATGCAAGCCACTCTGTCGAGGAAGGTGATAGTCACAGGAACAGCAACAAAAAAGCCTCTCACAAATGATTTAATGTATCTTCTCCCAATGCTTTGCGTCTGGGCCATAATCTAAAGAATGGAAGAAAGTTGAACTATTTCAGAAACAAGACAAATTTCCATTATAGTCAAGCAAACAATAGAGTACTGTCATGTAGTTTTGTCAATAATCATCAACATTTGCTACAGAAAGAGAAATTCAACACCAATTACAATACAGTGGTGCCTCGCTTAGCAACATTAATTTGTTCCCAAAAAATCGCTGCAAAGCGATATACAGTGGTGCCTCACTTAGCAATGTTAATGTGTTCCAAAAAAAAATCGCTGCTAAGCGATTTCATCGCTAAGCGAAACGCGGTTTCCCATTGAAATGCATTGAAAACTGGATAATCCGTTCCAATAGGAACAAATTGCCATCCTTAAGCGAAAACCGCCATAGAAAACATCACTAAGCGAAACGCGGTTCCCCAATTGAAATGCATTGAAACCTATTCAATGCATCTCAATGGGGGGGAAATACAACAACAAATTAAAAAAGCGTAAGAACAAAGTCAACTTTGGTTAACAAAGGGTTTATTAAGTGCACTTTATGATTTCAAACATTTTAAACAGTAAACTTTAACTTTATAAATAACAGAAAAACATTTAAAAAACAGCAGACATGAGGCTGTTTAAACCATCATTAAGCGAAACAGGGGACCCAAAATTTAATCGCTATGCGAAGCATGGTCCCAACCATCGCTAAGCGAAAATCGCCCGTAGGGACCATAGCTTGAAGCGAAAATCGCCCATAGGGACCATAGCTTGAACGAAGCACAAAAACGCTCCAAAAAAGTCACTAAGCGATTTCGTCGCTAAACGGAGCGCCCGTTGAGCGAGGCACCACTGTACTATTACAAAGCCCGTTAAGTGAGGCACCACTGTACTATTACAACTGACATTTATCTGAAAAGGGGTGGGAAACTGTCCCCTAAAAAAGCTTCAGAGATATTCAATGTAAGTGCAATATCAATGCCCCTGAAGAAGGCCAAAAATACATTAGCCTAAAGTTATACCCATTTTACACAAGGGGTGGGAAACTGTCCCCTAAAAAAGCCTCAGAGAGATTCAATATAAGTACAATATCAATGCCCCTGAAGAAGGCAAAAAGTTATACCCATTTTATACTCTGGGACTATCTTCTCTCCTTGCTTGACAACTTCAGTGGATGTACCAGTCCTTTTTGTTCCTATCACAATTAACTGAAAGTGGGGACTCTTTATACCATCCTCTTTTATACTTGGCCACTAAATATCCAGCAACTGTGTTAGAAATTGACCAGAATCCCACTGATGTTTGTGTAACCATGACTAACTGCAACTAACTGGTGAGTTGCCAGGGTGCTTCTCCTTTTTGCTTCTTGTCATATGCCTGATTGCGCAACTGAGACGTAACCTGACACCTCATCAAGTAGACGCAATTAGCCATAGCAAGTCATGTAACTCTTACACAGAACATCAATAATATTCTAGCCGTTATGCTAATACATCCCTTTCTAGAGAACACCTGACAAGTTAGACAGAGATAGAAACTATGAGGTGTGTTGTACTGAAGAAAATGACTCTCACCACACACAAAGCTGTTCCAAAAGGTTGGGGAACACAGGAGTGACACAGGTGTGATAACGGGAAAGGATAAATTACTTTCTCCTCCTTTTTCCCCAGAAGGAGTATCTACTAGATCTCACCCCTTCATGGAACAAAAGAACAAACAAAAATCCTCCTTTGCAGCAGCAGTGACAATCTAAATCTGATCCCAGATCTACATTCCTACAAAAGAAGAACATGTAGAGATAATGCGCCAGAGATGCTAAATTAAGCAGCTCACCAGCAGCTTTTGTGAATTATTTGTCAAAGCCGACAAACAAAAGGTAAGAGCCAACTGGGAAATATTCCAAGTGATTCTGTACTCGCATTGAACATTGTGTCAAGAAAGCTGGGAATCATGTGACGATGCAGACAAGAAGCTGAATTTACAAAGACAAATTTCATGGAAGAAAGTGGCTTATGTGACGATCCTATCCTGAGAATTTTAAGGTTCTGTCAAGTCATGTTTCAAGAATGGTGCTTCATTGATGGAAGAAGTTGGATACGTTACATTTTTCGACTGCAACTTCTAGAACCCGCAATGCAACATGGTCATAATGGCTGGGGGATTCCAGGAGTTGCAGACCAAAAGAAGAGTAACTTTTCAGGCTCTCCACTATAGTAATCTGGGGTACAAAACAATATAGCTTCAGACAATGTTTCTGGAACAACCTCATGTTTAATACCCTTAGTCTTAGCTATCATAAACCATGCCACCACCTCCACCACACACCCATGCACAATGAAATTTCCAACAAGTTTAATTGTACAGTATGTTTGGCAGATGCCAGTGAGAAATGTGGCACTGCGCAAGAAGTTGAAGGGCATGATCTGAGGACATCAGGGAGAGGACCTTTGCACTGAAAATAAAGCAATACTACTTTTCAGTGTCAAAATATTCCTGCAGCTACAGATCAAATAAATATTAGTCATGATCCATAACCTTAAGAAACAATTTAGTCCCATACAATCAGGAAAAGAAACAAGTACATGCAAATTTACCTTGATTTAAAGCCAGGAACACAGGATAACAATGTCAATCTGATTTCTGGAAATACAGCATCCAGAATTTTACTGGTGATTTACAAATAAGGGAACCTGAATAGTTTACGGTAGCAAACGGTTACTGATTACTGAGGACATGGTAGCATTCCTAATCACATGACAGGCACACAATAACTGGCATCTCATTAATCAGTGACAACTTGCTGACTTGACTTAAACTAGTTATTATTTGATTTATATACAGTGGTGTCTCGACTTATGAAGATGGTTGTAACTCGAAATGGTCGTAAGTTGAAGCACCATTTCCCATAGGAATGCATTGAAACACGATTAATCAGTTCAGGCCGGGGGGGGGAATCACCAATAACAAACAAAAAACCCTGCAAGACCCATTGGAAATGTGATTGATCCGTTACGACTGAAAGGGGGGAAAACCAAAACGCAAACAAACCCTGCAAGACCCATCAGAAATGCAAAAAAAAAAAGGAAAAAGAAACGAACAACCCTGCACAAACAAACCCTGCAAGACCCACTGGAAATGCAAAAAAAAGAAAAGAAAAGAAAAAGAAAAAAAAAGAAAAAGAAAGAAAGAAAGAAAGAAAAAGAAAAAAGAAAGAAAGAAAAAGAAAACCAAAAAGCAAACAAACACTGCAAGACCCATCGGAAATGGGAAAACAAAACCAGAAGGAAACAAACCCTGCAAAACCCATCGGAAATGCAACCCCCCCAAAAAAGCAAAGATAGACTGCAAGCATAGAAACATAACCCCCCAGCCCAAAACCACCCTGCAAAACCCACCCAGAACAGGCAGTTATTAAAAAGCAGAAAGCAGCACCTTACCAGTCAGTCTGAAGCCTCCTCCGAACACATACTCTCTAACCGCTGGGGCGAAAGATTTACAAAGAAGCAGCCTCTTCGCCACCAACGGTTAACAGTTCAAATTCCCTGTCTTTTTCCCTGCCTTTTTTCCAATCATGACTCAAAGCTCCGGCTGCAAGTCGAAGCAAAATTTTGCAGTCGGAGCTGGTCGTAACTCGAATTGGTTGTAAGTTGGGACATTCGTAAGTTGAGGCACCATTGTACTGCCCCATTAGTGCACGTACTACTCTAGGCAGTTTACTTGCATACATGAAAATCATCAGTAGGATTTTACACATACTCGCTCAAAGACTTATTTTCTCTAATCAATTTCACTGTATGGTGATACTTACTTCTCCCATTAGTCTCTGCATTGTGCAAATCTAAAACACACTATCAGGTGAGAACTAATCAAGGAAACAAGCATCAATTCACATAGAAAGAATGTTCCATTTTAAAGTAAATTGTTCACAGATTATCTGAGAGCAAGTAATTTATTCAAAATATTTACTAATAGCAATATGTTTTGCAAACTAATGTTCAGTGACAAGAGTATTTGAATAGGTAATAGCTAAATATGCTCCTTAAAATGTTTAAAAATACAATAGAAAACAATACATCTTAAAGCATTAATTGAGCACAATGATACTGACAGCCATTACTGTTATGAGGTTGGGGAAATACAGTGAGCCTAAATGAACCAATTAAACCCCAAACTGAAAATAGACTCTCCCTATAAATAATACAGTCACCTAAAATATTATCAAGTTGAAATATTTGGAACCATTTACATATCAAGCAGCTTTCTGTGAACTTTTTACTCCAAACCTTTTCTCCACAAACTTATTTAAAGAGAGAGAAATTGTGCCACTCTAACAACTGTCTAGTCATTTTGGGTTTCATGTCAAAAGTTTTCCCACCTGTCAATGAGTTCTCTGAGATTTTTTAAAAAATTGAACCATGGGCAGTTAAACACCTATTCTCTTGGACTAATGCCATTCCTGTGGTAAGTTGCTTTAAGCATTCATGCCAGAAGAAGATCCAACAGAAAAAAGACTAAAATCAACTATTAACTAAGGGTGGGTGCCCTTTTATTTGTGTGTATAGGTTTATTTGCCTTAAATATCAGCAATAAAAACTCAGTACTTGTCCTACCTTGTGGTTTACAGCAACTAAAGGTGGAGGGGGAGGGATTAGATGGGCACAGGGCCTGCCTAGCAAAGATCAAAAGCATCTGGAAATAACAGGGCAAACTCCAAGGAAGCCCACACCATGTAACTCGCAGATTATAGCAGATGGAGCACAGCATTATCTGGACTGAAGTGCTTGTGTACAACAGGTCCAGGGGCTATAATGGGTCTCCAGCGGGTACTACGACATATGGAGCAGAGATGCTATTTAGATTGCTCTCCCACATTTAAATGTTTATTTTTATTTCCTATACTCGCCAGCATGTTTGAAGACACGGGTTGTCAAGCTGCCTGCAAAAGAATAACCTCATCAGGCAATACACCAGAAGCCTCAAGCCACACATTTGCAAGTCTAAGCATTTAAAAATTATCCACCGAAGTATGACGGGAA